TTATATCTAAGTTCAAAACTGTAGTATAAATTTCCTTAGATTTAGATACTAATAAATGTATTAAAATCATGATAAAACAAAACGCGGACATAAAAATTGAAAACATAATTAAATAATCGGGTAAAAAGCCTGGTTTACCCTCAACCCCCCCCCCCTTTCCATATAAATAGCATGTTTACATTATTCGCAATCGTAATAGATTTAAGTGATTGCATTGTGGGGGGAAAGTAATCAGATGCAATGGCAGTTGATGTATATTGAAGTCCCTTCTCCCCCCTCCCCATCGTCATGTAAAGTAGTTTCTGTTCTGTCTGGTAACAGACTAAGGTTTCCACTTGTTGAGCAGAATGCCCAGGCCACTTTATGAAATGATACTATTTTCGTCACAATGCCTATCAGGACTGACTCACTGAGCAACAGATATGTATATTCCTCTGGTTCCGTTTTTGAACTTCATGATCCAACTGACTTGCATCAAGTACCTGCCAAATGCCATTTCACCAGAGGTTAAAATACAGACTCATGCAGCCTATGTCTTTCATTTAATACGGGTTTATCCGTGACTTCTACATAGGGAACTTATTTGACAAGGCCTTTGTCCTTTATAACTTCCCCTTTTCTCATTTTTGGCTGGTAAATTTGGTCTCTTTGATACAGTTCACATGCATGATTGCTTTTTTTGTTTTGTTTAATGTATAATATTTTAATGATGTATACTAGTTTTTATATTAAGATGGAAATAAATGGAAATCTGACGGAACGAAGCATATTAGTGAAAGGTGAATCTGCATTAGATTGATTTCTAGATCATTTTAGCATGGATGACATGCTTTACCCCCATAATGCTGTCGAAAGTAAAAAAAAAAAAAAAAAAATATATATATATATATATATTGAAGTCCCTTTTCCCCCCTCCCCATCGTCATTTAAAGTAGTTTATTTTCTGTCTGGTAACAGACTAAGGTTTCCACTTGTTGAGCGGAATGCCCAGGCCACTTTATCACGTGATATTAGGCCTACTTGCGTCACAATGCCCATCAGGACCGACTCACTAAGCAAGAGATATGTATTTTTTTGTTTGGTCGATTAGCTCTTGTTATATGTATTTCACTCTGGCTTAATTTTTGGACCACACGGTCCAACTGACTTGCATCAGGTACCTGCCAGGTGCCACTTCACCAGACGTTGAAATACAGACTCATGTAGCCTATGTATTTCATTTCATTTGGGTTATCCGTCACTTCTACATGGAAATCTGATGGAACGAAGCACATTTTAGTGCAAAGGGAATCGGCATTAAATTGATTTCTGGATCATTGTCTTGGACAATCTGCATGTTTTGGCATCAGTCACACCGGATTCATGACCAGAGACAAACTCTCCTCTTATCTTGCGAAAGAGACATTATAGACACCTTCATAACACGTTCTAGATGAGACCTCTGATGTCACTTGTTGCCACTTGTTGAACTGTGTAAGCTAACGTGTGAGTCCTTTTAAGTTGGCTATAATTGGATAAATATTTCTGAGGAAAGGACTCGACGCCTCATTCCACGATTCATTTCGCATTTAGCAGGATCTCGGCAAACAGTGAGTATAATTAACATAAATTTTTGACTCGTTACCTCTAAATTTGGTTGATCCAAGCAATAGCCACTATATAAGCTCGTAGGAATAGAGTTACATACAATCTATGTATTTATTACAGGAACCCTTATCCTAATTATATATCATAAACCGTATCCGGACACCTACCCCCTGGACATCCACCCCCGGATAACCACCCCGAGTCAACTACCCTTAGGACAACTATCCCCTAGGACAACTACCCCCTAGGGCAACCACCCTCTAGGACGAATACCCCCGGACAACTACCCCCGGACAACTACTCCCTAGGACAACTACCCCCGGACAGCTAACCCCCAGACAACTACTCCCTAGGATAATTGTTCAGGGGATAGGTATCCTAGAGGATGGTTGTCGTAGTGGTTAGTTGTCCTAGGGGGAAGTTGTCTGGGGGTAGTTGTCAAGGGGTAGTTGTCCCGGGGGTAGTCGTCCTAGAGGGTGGTTGCCCTAGGGGTAGTTGTCCTAGGGGATAGTTGTCCTAAGGCGAAGATTTGTTGTTGTTGTTGTTGATGGTCATGTTGATGGTAATGGTGATGATTCGTGATCTCATGTCCTTAGAAAAATGTTCAACATTCGGGCAATGTTAGGCGATTTGCATTTTGAGTCAAATGTACCATGCTGATGCAAGATAGGTGTATTCCCAGCTTCTGAAGGGAGTAGGATACACTTCTGATGTTTATCTTGTAATTTAAATTCATGTATTGGTATTAAAGGTCAAATACAGATCGGAATAGTTATCATGGAATAGTGACAATGAATACTGTTACATCTGATTGATTGATTGATTGATCCATTTTATTTCAAGTTCAGTATTTTAAAAAATATGGTTGTAAACATTTACAATGTACATAATTATAACAAGCGACCTAAAAATGTGAAACAAAGTAATTACATTTAAATACAATTTGTGTTGGAAAATGAAATAGGGTGTATCAGTAAAAGCCTTTGTGGCTTGACAAGTTGATACATCCATTACAAAGAATGAAAAATATTATATAAATTTTAGGTAGTTGACGGTAACATACTAAATTGCATTTAACTTATACATGATCGGACAGTAAATGGCGCTTGTACTTAATTTTAAAGGAATTTCCAAATTGAGTATTGCGTATCAAGGGGGATAATGAATTCCATATAATTTTTTTTTTAAACGTTTTAGCCCTCCATAGGCTATTTTATTGAGTCAAACAAACAATTTTACAATTCAATGACATTAAGTCTTTCCCTAACTCAAACAAAACAGAATACTTTCACATTTCTCTCCTTGTTGTTCATACAAACAAATGTTGAAGTGCCTGCCATTTAGTAAAAATTTTGTTATGCATACCAGATATAGAATGGATATATCTCTCGTCTTCATAATATTGAATCATTTTCTTCTTCAAAGAACTAAAATTTGGAATTTTGTTATTAAGCTTTTGAACAAATAGTTGATGCTTAATCAAAGTCACCACGCAATTTAAAGCATCGTTTCTTTTGTCTTCAAAACCAAAAATTACATTTTCTAAATTAAACTCTATCTGTAATCGAGAACCTTCATTTATCCATTTGTCCGTTTCATTTCAGATTGATTTACATATTTCACAATTGTAAAAGAAATGTACAATATCTTCTCTTTTTAAAAACTCTTTTTTACAAAACGAACATTTATTGTTACTCACTATTTTCATCTTATACAGTTGCTTGTTCAAATACAGAATCCTATTTACTATCTTAAACTGAAAATATCTTAAACCAATATTTGGAGTAAAACGAAATATCATTCTATGATATTTCTGCATTCTTATACATTCAGGGGTATAATCTAAATGTCGTTCTCATTTCATACATATTGAGTTAACACAATTTGTTTTTCCAAGAAAAGTTTTGTAAATATATTGACAACCTTTTATGTCATGTACTAATATTTTGATATGTGACGGCATTAGAGGATCTACTACATTTTTTTTTCTTCATTTTTCAATATGCATTTGATATCGACACTTTATAGCTTGAGTTACAGAATAATAAGACAAATAATTTAGTTTCAAGCAGAATTTTTTTCACATTTCTCACGAGTCAGAAGTTTTCCCTTATCATCAATCAAATCATTTATACATCCGATGCCTTTTTCATACCAAGATTTAAAAAATACAGATTTTTGTCCAATTTTTATTGAGCTATTTCTCCACAACGGATAAGTTAACCAATCATCTCCCTCTATTCCATATAATGGGACCAACGAACCGAATAAACTAAAAAAGAGAGTGAGATGTGACCTTTGATTGGTGGAATAACTGGTTGTATATATATATATATATATATATGTATTCGTGCATACGTTTATATATTATGTGTTCCATATACAGGGTGGTCTCTTCAGTAAATCAAAACTGCTTTGCAAGATAGCCCTGTATTACATTAGACAATTACAGTCAAACCTGCTTTAGTGACTACCTGTCTACAAAGACCACCTGGCTAATAATACAAGGCAACCTACCAGTCCACTATGCCAAGGATGAAATCATTCGCCAGATAATATTATCAAGGAAGGGAAAGATGAAATCAACATGGGCATTTGGAAGAAATGTAGAAATGGTGTCATAGTCGAGTGGTCTACATTGTAACTGGTAATTAAAAGTGCTTTATAGAATACGTAACAAAACGAAACAAGAACAAAATATAGATTCGAATTGGAAACTAGTTGTGACTTTTGATCACATCTAAAATAAACAATTCTACATTGTACATTTATTGAAAGCAATACAACACCACACATATGATTAAAGTGCAAGATCGGACTCTTGGATTGTTCCCAAAAGACTCAAATAAGTGACATGTTTAGAGATGATTGGCAGCCTGACAAAGACCATTGACTTGAAAATTCAAATCTGAGATCGCTTTAAATTATATGAATATTGACCTCTAAAAAACTCCAAACTGCCGTCACTTTCTCATACCAATTCTGTTTTGTTTCAAACTTCTACAGTATTTAATCTTATCAATGCACATAACCTAGCTAAATTTCACGTTGCAATAATAATGCATGGTATAAATAGCGCCCTCTACAATTCTTAAAATCTTTTAGTGGCTAAGATCAAACGTGCCTGGCCAAAGCCGTACCCTTTTTGGACTGAGATACTTCAAGATATACCCTTTCCATCCAATTAAAAAAAAATGTATCCTCACCACTGACCAAATTTGCGAAAATTTAAATATGTTCCTTTTTTTCTAGGTGTTTTGGTGATAAACTGATGTCAGCTTCCAGCTTTCACTAGGAATTTGACAGAAGAATGAGAAGATACAGCATGTAGGAAAAAATTAAAACAGCCCTAAAAGATTTTGATGAATTCATGAACTTGTAGCCAGGAGAGAGACCCTTAGCTTTCACTAGGAATGTGGAAGAAGATTTTCAAAAAGAGGGTCAGTCGTAAAGGCAAAGCCAAAAGTCTGGTCCACAGAGACAGTATTGAGGGAAATAAAGAAGATTCCAGTGTTGATGATTTGCAGAGTGCACTAAACAGTGCTGTGCAGAATGGACAACTTGACCTCATCCAAGAACTGATCGGTAGAGGAGCCGAGGTGAATAAAGTTGATAATGACGGTAAGACTACATTACAGCTAGCTGCACTGAATGGTCATCATCTTGATGTCATTAAATATCTCATCAGTCAAGGAGCCGATGTTAATAACGGCGGAACTGAGGGTTTGGCTCCATTACATTTAGCTGCACAATCTGGTCATCTTGCTGTGACCAAATTTCTCATCAGTCAAGGGGCTGAAGTGAATAAAGATGATAATGATGGTTCGACCCCATTACATTTAGCTGCCAATACTGGTCATCTTGATGTCACCAAATATCTGATCAGTCAAGGAGCTGAAGTGAATAAAGATGATAATGATGGTTTGACCCCATTACATTTTGCTGCACATTATGGTCATCTTGATGTCACCAAATATCTGATCAGTCAAGGAGCTGAAGTGGATGAAGATGATAATGATGGTTCGACCCCATTACATCTTGCTGCAGATAATGGTCATCTTGATGTCACCAAATATCTGATCAGTCAAGGAGCTGAAGTGGATGAAGATGATAATGATGGTTCGACCCCATTACAACTAGCTGCTCAGAATGGTCATTTTGATGTCACCAAATTGCTCATCAATCGAAGAGGCGAGGTGAATAAAGATGATAATGATGGTTCGACCCCATTACAGCTAGCTGCTCAGAATGGTCATCTTGATGTCATCAAATATCTCATCAGTCAAGGAGCTGAAGTGAATAAGGATGATAATGAGGGTTGGACCCCATTACATTTTGCTGCACATTATGGTCATCTTGATGTCATTAAATGTCTGATCAGTCAAGGAGCTGAAGTGGATGAAGATGATAATGATGGTTCGACCCCATTACAACTAGCTGCTCAGAATGGTCATCTTGATGTCATCAAATTGCTCATCAATCGAGGAGGCGAGGTGAATAAAGATGATAATGATGGTTTTACCCCATTACATTTAGCTGCCAATACTGGTCATTTTGATGCCACCAAATATCTGATCAGTCAAGGAGCTGAAGTGAATAAAGATGATAATGATGGTTTTACCCCATTACATCCAGCTGCATCTAATGGACATCTTGATGTCACCGAATTTCTGATCAGTCAAGGAGCTGAAGTCAATGAGAGCAGCAATGATGGTTCGACCCCATTACAACTAGCTGCTCAGAATGGTCATCTTGATGTCACCAAATATCTGATCAGTCAAGGAGCTGAAGTGAATAAAGACGATAATGATGGTTCGACCCCATTACAACTAGCTGCTCAGAATGGTCATCTTGATGTCATCAAATATCTCATCAGTCAAGGAGCTGAAGTGAATAAGGATGATAATGATGGTAGGACCCCATTACGACTAGCTGCTCAGAATGGTCATCTTGATGTCACCAAATATCTGATAAGTCAAGGAGCTGAAGTGGATAAAGATGATAGTGATAGTTCGACGCCATTACAACTAGGTGCTGCTGGAGGACATCTTGATGTTGTCACAGAATTAATCAGTCAAGGTGCTGATGCTGGTAAGGCTAATGACAAAGGATGGTCAGCCTTATACCTTGCCGCAGCTGCTGGTCGTGTTCGTGTTTCAAGTGCCTTGCTTAGTCAGCAAGCTGAGCTGGCCACATCAAATATAATTCATTGGACGGAGTTTCATACCGCTGCAGAGAGGGGCGATCTTGATGCCATGAGAGATCAAGTCAGTCAAGGAGCCGAGCTGGATAAAGCCGGTTCTTTTGGTTGGACAGCCTTACACATTGCAGCAAGTATTGGCCATCTTGATATGACCAAATATTTGCTAAGTCAAGGAGCTGATGTGAATTCCAGCAATGACTTTGGTAACTGTGCCTTGCATAGTGCCTCACAGAAAGGGAACTTGGATGTCGTGGAATATTTGATCAGTGAAGGGGCCGATATGAATAAAGGAAATGACCTTGGATCGACCACCCTTCATTTTGCATCACTTTTTGGCCATTTAGATATCGTCAAATCCCTTATCAGTCATGGAGTGGAGGCAGATATTGGCAACGCATTTGGAACCACTGCTCTCCATTATGCTTTATGTAATCGTCGGATCGAGATTACTAAGTATCTGCTTAGCCAAGGCTCTGAACTGAATAAGAGAAGCGTGTTGCACTGTTTCATCTTACAATTTGATGGACAGTATGGTCACTATGATGTGCGATGTGTGCAGGGTCGTGTAGTTCAAGCAGTTAGCAGACTAATTGACTCTCTCACTGTCTTTAGAGGTGCTCCAGAAAGTGATCTTGGTAGAATCAAATATCAAGATGACGATGAGGATAAGACAGTTCATGGTGGAATGGTTATTATGCATCAGCCAAGTATATTGTCTAATCTTAACATTCAAGATCGGCTTGTAATTAGTCAAGAAGGCAGAACAGTTACTCGCACATCGTTACAATATGCTGTAAAAGGTGGCAGTTTAGCAGTTGTTCGGTATCTGATCAGTCAAGGAGCTGATGCGAACGAAAGCAACAATGTTGGCTGGACTGCTCTTCATTTTGCTGCGCAAAAGGGTCATCTTGGTATTGTAGATTATCTACTTGGACAAGGAGCTGAAGTAGCCAAAAGAGACGTCGATGATATCTCGCCTTTGCATGTTGCTGCATTTGTTGGCCATGGTGACGTTACCGAGCATTTGCTTAGGCAAGGATCAGAGGTCAACGGAGCCACCAAGGAGAAAGGTTCTACAGCCCTACATGTTGGAGTGCAGAATGGTCATCTCGATATCGCGAAAGGCTTGCTCAACCACGGAGCCGAAATTGATGCGACAGACAATGACGGTTGGACCCCCTTGCACATTGCTGCTCAGAATGGCCACATCGATGTCATGAAGTTTCTACTTCAGCAACATGCAGATGTTAGCAAGGTTACCAAGAGGGGATCATCTGCATTGCATTTGTCTGCCGCAAATGGACATGCCGATGTCACAAGATATCTATTAGAGCACGGAGCTGAAGTGAATATGAGTAAACCTGGGAAGACTGCGTTGCAACTCGCAGCAGAACAAGACCAAGTACATGGGACAAGTCCAGATACGTGGTGTGCTGAAGGGCAGAAACATCCTTCTTCCCCGAACGGCCATGCAGATACTGAGGGTTTAACAGAAGATGTGAAGAAGGTATTTAACTTAGTATTCCTATATATTTCATATGAAAAAAATATCATACAGTTTATTAATATTCTTGCAAGTATTAAAATCATATCAATATAAATTGAAAAGGGTTAGCAAATTTTTAGCCTTAATAATCCTGTTAAAACTTTCTTGTGAAGGTATATAGATTGTCTGAATTATGAAAAAGGGTGAAATGATTCCACGAGGACTTCTCAAAACCTATTTTGTACCGGTACATATACATGTAAGTCAAAGCTGTCTTAGTGGCCACCTCTCAATAAAAGCCACTTATGTATCGGGACCATGTATTTTGCCTCTCTCAAGAAAGAAATGTGTGTTTGAGAAACCTTTCTACAGTGACCACATTTTTTGGGTGTCCCATTGGTGACCTTGATAGCCAGGTTATAATAATTGCTTAAATGTCAGAATCTGTGTATGTGTAAGTCTATGTGGTGATTTTACATATGAAAAATCAGAAAAGAGACTACTTATATGCCCGACGAAGCCTGAATTTTCTCCTTTAAAAAAAATATAAAGCCATTTTGTTTGTAGATTCTGAATTCTGGAGGCTGTTTTTTTTACATAGGTTATTGGGCAACATGCTACGAAAGGCTGCACAGCAGTTCATTTAGCCACACAAAATGGCTACACCTCCATCATCGAAACATTAGTTTCTCATGGCGCTGATCTCAACATCCAGTCCATCGACGGACAGACTTGTCTTCATGAAGCCATCAGACTTTCTGGTCGGAAGTACAGCAAAGTTGAAGCCACACCAGCACTCCAAAAGGTAAGATGATGAACTCTAGAACACACTGTCCCTGGGATTGTACAACACTTATTCTTCTAACAATTGCTATGAAGTAATTTCCTACACTAACCGGATGTTCGGAATTATGAACCTGTGGATAAATCTTCAGAAACACAAAGGCCTCCTAAAGTATAAACACTATTTTCTCTGTATAATTGTTCTAGATCTCTGAAGAGTTCTATCAGAATGAGTTGTCTCCCAAGAAGGCCCTGGTCTTCTATCTCTTGGACCACGGAGCAAAGCCGGACATCAAAGATAACCATGGTAACCTACCAGTCCACTATGCCAAGGATGAAATCATTCGCCAGATGATATTCCCAAGGTAGGGAAGCATTATATTAACATAGTCATTTGGAACAAATATAGAAACGGTGTCATAGTCAAGTAGTCTAATCAATCGACTTGCAATGCCAAAGGTCGTCGGTTCTTTATATTCTCTGCATGGCATGCATGTCCTTGGGCAAGGCATGTTTATCTACAATGCCCACTCCACCCATGTATTAAATGTGTACCTGCCAGGATGTGAACGCCAATGTGATTTGATTAGCATGCACACACCAGTACAAAAGTGTGACTGGCTAAACGGCTCCCCATGGAGTGGAGAGTGCACTGTAAAGTGCAGAATCATTATAGAGTACAGGGACTAGTTGATCATACTGTAACAACTTTAGTCAGGTACATTGTAAATGATAAAGTGCTTTATAAAATACAGTTATTATTATCTCTTCTTTTAAATGAAAATGATTAACCTGGCTTTCTTAAATTTGGTTTTGGGTTTCCAGCCGAGTTATACATATGGTTGCTACCAGGTTGTGAAATTAAATTATGCAAATAAAATAGTGCAATTCCACCTGGGACAGATCTGCCAACAATTGTTCAAATTAAATGTAACCAATACGAATACTAGTATACAAAAAGTAATTCTCAATTGTTCGGTAATTTCATTGGGTTATTTGTTTAGGATTTCAGTCAGATACTTGTTGGCAAGTTGAAACACTAATTTTGATGAATTCTGTTTTGAATTTTCTTGTTTATTTTCTTCAGATAGTTGAGTCTTTTATTTTCCAAAAATATGTGAAAAAAGGCATTGTCCCCTACATTCCATAAGTCCTGTTTTGTCCTGACCATGTCTTAAACGTTAGTAATCCTGATGTATGTAGAAACTAGTTAATGTATATTGTAAAACTATAAAGATACGGTATATTCTATTGTACACAGGTGGAAGTATTCCTTCAAGAGTGCAAACAAAAAGTAGTTGTGAAGCACCTCCATTGCTTGATTATTCTTAAATGCAGAACGTGGGACTTTGATCTCATGGGTAAAAGATCTGTGGATATTTGATCAAATATCTTTTGCTTGCCCAAGTATATCCTGAAGGTTGTAACAATAGGATAACATCACTTTTTCTTTGTTTTCATTTGCATATATTCTCAGGTCTCCTGCCATGGACATCATCAGAGCTTATCGAGGTAACACTATCTGATAAATAAATAATAAAACATAGACTATCATAAACAAACAATTATAAATATTTGTTTAATTAGGTTTTCAATATTTTCAGACAAGAACAGAACAAGAAAACTATAGGGATAGCTAAATTCACTTTCAGAAGTACAAGCTTCATAATTAAGAAAGAAAATTAATTGACATGGTGATCAGTTCTATTCGTTAACTAAATGTCTATTCCATGATGCCAAGGGTGATTTCTTTTATGAGCAACGTAAGAGAAGATTGAATTCCGGTGTAAGCTTTCCCATGTTTTGTTTAATGTACATTTGGGAGAACTTTGCAAATGCCCTTTTGTTTGAAATATGATGAGAAATGCCTTGAAAAATTGGACTAATCTTTCATGCTACATGTGTTTGCATTGTGCAGTTTCCTATACCCGTACCCAGATGGGTTGATTTGCTTTTCATTTTGATCATTTCAAAACCTATATCGATTCTTATGTAAAATATAGTCGACCTTTCCTATTGCTAACGGATAGTTTCTTTTCACTGAAAAGTTATTCAACTTTATCTTTAAACCCTCATCATTCTCACTCTCTCACTCTCTTTGATAAATTTTAATCTGCAGCTGAAGAGTCAGCACCACCAGTGGTCAACGCCGTCTCTGCTCAGGTCGGATGTGACGGTAAAGATCTCGAACTGGAACAACATGGCATTGCAATGTCTATCCCACCTGGAGCCGTCAAACACAATGAATCTTGCAAGATCACCCTAACCATCGTGGGAGACCTCCCCAGTGTTGACATCCAAGATGACACACCAATGGCAGCCTACGGGATCAGATGTGACCCTCCAAACATGGTCTTCCACCAGCCTGTTAAGATTAGGATACCGCATTCCATCTTATTCATCAACACTGAGGACGTGATACCAGACATCGTCTTACATATTTGGGATACAAGAAAGGGTAGGTTATTTGGTTTATTAATGGTCCATTCTTTCAGCGAATATTATTGAAGTCTTCTTTTATACAAGACTACAGTACTTTAAAACATTCTTTTCCTCATGGTTACCCAAGGGATCCTGGTCTTTATACCAAGTCATTTTGGAACAATACCTTAGTAGAAATGTTTCCTGAATTGAGCCCTGAATTGCTATTAAAATGCTTTTTTATTTAAAATATTGTAATAAATAGCTATAAAATTTGATCCAAACACTTGTGTTTAGTACCGTGTACACATTTTCTGTGTGTGGTGCATGTGATCTTATGGAAAACTGAGTCAATTTCTTTTCAGTAAATCAATGAAAAACGTCACAAGGCACATCAGTTTTATTAACATTATAAACTACCTTTCCAAGTTGCTTTCAGACAGTTTCTTTCACAATGTTATTGCATGACCAGTACTCAATTTTATCTTTAAAGCCATCATCCTTTCAAACAGGAATCTGTTATCATAATAGGGCTAGCCTAGCTTCGTGTTGCTCAAATGCTCATTAAAGAATATTTGACATTGTGGCTCTAATCATAGGTTTACCAAGAGTTCCGAGGACAAAATCATCTGCTGCATCTGGCAAAGTGCCATTCTGCAAAGTCCTTAAGAGTCATCTTGAGTTGTACATCAAACACTGTGCCGAGTGGTGGGTTCTTATCCCTCTTGAGCAACAGATCATCCAGCTTCAATTCATGTGTACCCCATACGTACCGGACAAGATTGAACGAGGCAAAGAGTTTGATGTTCATCTCCACCTGAATGCCGATATCCCGGGCATAGAAATGGTCAGTTAGAAAGAGTTCGGCTCAACTCGGTTCACTTTTATTCTCTCTTACTCCATTTAGATCTCTTCCCTGGGAGCATGCTAAAATGGGTCGCATGTACCTTGGGTTCGAATATGGGTTCCACATTGGTCTGGTCTGCCCATAAAGACTCCATTTATGATATTGCACCCAATATTGGTATGGGACACCTATGGGCCATCTCATGTGGCCCATATGGGTTCGTCCCAGGGCCCATCTGGCATGATGTGCAGTATCCCGTATGGGCCTCAAAGGGTAGGGGTTCCCATATAGCCCCTGTTTGGAGTTCCCCTACGGGCACAATATAAGTTTGCACTGAAGATTCATATGGGACCTATATGGGCAACCCCATTTTGCCCACTTGATTATTCTTTCATCTTCTTGTAATTTCCAAAGGGCTATACAGCCCGTCACTAAGCTCTGTATATAGATTACCAGTTGTGTATTGCAGCATTTGCAAGCACACTAAAAACCAGATTTACACCCTACTCCTTGTGAGAGTATAAACTAGCTTACATAGGGTGTGACTCTCCTAAACACGGGCTTCCTGACTTGTGGATATAGCCTGGACTTATTATCAGCGGAGCAAATGTTGGCCCACCGTAATTATATAAATGCGATACATCCGGTAAATACAATCATGTAGATTGTAGATGTTACATAAATTACATATAACTTTAATTCAATTTTAGATCAACAGATATATTTTCAGCTGTGTTTTGAATTGTTTTACAAAATCTAATTTCCTCAGATAAGAGGAAGTGAGTTCCAGAGAACGGGTGCCGCTTTGGCGAAAGATCTGTCGCCGTAGCTATATCCTTGACCTGAAATGGTTAATGAATGAGATACAGTCTGTGTTCTGTTCATTTTCTTTTAAATAGGAGGTACAAAAGGAGGAGAAGCAGAGTTCATACCACAGTGCACATCGCTCCTTTCCGATCTCTATCGAAGCTAAATCCGGTGACATTTCAGTGACTTGTGATGGTGCAGGCAAGATGAGCAATATTAAGGTATGAAAACATGTGCCAATTAAGTGAAACCTGTATATAAAGCTGTATAGAAAGCCTACCTGCATATAAAAACCTTTTGCGGTGTTCCCCTTTTAAATTATTTCCTATTGAAACCTGTCCTAAAGCAACCTGTCTGTAAAGACCATCTGACATTGAAGACCACTTTTCTTGTCTCCTTTAACAGTTTCATGTACAGGTTTCACTTTATTAGGACCGCTCAAGGGAGACAGAAAAAGCATGTGGTCTTTATGTACAGGTTCCTTTAGTACACAATGACAAACGCTATTCAAGGGAAACAGATAATGTGGTCTTTATGGACAGGTGGTCTTTCAATGTACAGTTGGTTGCTAAAGCAGGTTTCATTCTATTCATTTCTTTTTCTTCTGCAGTAAAATCATAGAAATAATCGTCCCTTGACAAGTCCTTTTTTATATATTTTTTTAACACCTGTAACTTTGCTGTTTTAAGACACATTTTAATGTAAAACTCTGATTGTTCACTTCCATATGAACCCCCCCCCCCAAAAAAAAAAAAAAAATCGAAATATGCTTGGTAACATTTGTTCTCCTTTACTGGCATTCAAACATATTTTAAAATCATTAACCGCCTCTTTTACTTTCACCGACTCTTTTCCTTTCAAATTATCCCTTAAAATTTCATTTAATAGGTATCTGCATAGAATAAAATACAGTCAAATCTACCTTAAGCTACCACTTGCATAGAAAGATCACTTGTCTATGAAGACCGCATTTCCCTTGAATTGTGTTTCTTATCGAACCATGTATTATAGAAACCTGTCCATAACGACTGCCTGCTCGTAAAGACCACTTTTGTTACCTCCCCTGGTTGATCTTTAATCACAGGTTTAATGTTAATTGTTTGGTTTTTGTTTGCCCACAGGTACTGTCTTTGAAGGATATTCACAGCCAAAAGAGACACAACTTATTGCTATCAATGACTTCTGACGAGGACGATGCAGAATTCTCAGTCATTTACGTGACGATTTCACAGGCTGGAAGACTAGGCAGGAGGGCTCAATCGTTGGCATTCGTCATCAGATACAGAGGTTGGTGGATATTTTTATTCCCCATGATAGAGCTTGATGAAATTCATGATGATTATTCTGAGAGCTGGAGAATATCCATCTAATAGGCTAGACTTTGTTTCTGACTTAGTTTAAAGACGAAAACATGATTTATAACGGTGGTGTGAGAGTGGGGGGGGGGGGGGCTCAATAGACCTGTTTAAAAATGTATTTCAATTTATGCATGTTTCTGTCCGGAATCCTTTGTTATCAGCTACTTGATTCACCTGCTATGCGAAATGGATGGAATTCACTTTGTATATACATTATAATTGCTTTGTTGGGTATAAGCCTCTAGCAAGCTTTTCAGTCTTCAAGGGGAACATTTTCCAAAAATTATGCATATAATTAGTAAACAGGTTTATTTAAGTAATTTGAATTTGGATTTGAATTTGAATTTGAACTTGAGTTTGAATGTGGATGTAAATTTGGATTTGGATTTGAATTTGAATTTGAATTTGAATCGGAATTAGAATGACATGAATAAAGTCATCGAAGTTCATCCAATATCCTTTGGCTAGACGTTAATATATATTTGCCGCTCTCCACCAGGTAAAGTAAGCAGGTACCCAGTACAAAATAACTCGTTGAAAACACTGAGCGCCTGATCCATAGTATCCAGGCTTAAGGTAGAATAATAAATTGATATAAAGAGTAAGTATTAATACTGCTGAGGCTACCCTGGGTAAATACGACCATATCATGTGCATTACTGTTGGTGGTTGTGTTATTCTACTCGTTTTTGTTCTTGTTCCTGTTGTTGAGACGATGGTTGTGGTTTTCATTTCCTAACATGTAGACTCATGTGACGGTAGTATTCAGTAATATGATTTCAGGACCCTCATGGAGAACTGCTCACAAGGCTCCATTTGCTAAACAAGACATATTATTATTATTATTATTATTATTATTATTATTATTATTGTTATTATGATTATTATTAAAATTAAAATCTTTCACCCATTTCATCTCTTCTCTTTTTATAATTATGAATCCCTTTTATTGCAGATGACTCGACATTCCAGGAATCTACTGAGCCCTTTTCATTTATTAGGTAAGCTTTCTTTTTGTATGATGTTGTTGTCAGAAATGTATGTTTCATGTATTCAGTTTCTTTTTGGTACTTTGATATTTGATATACATGATACCTCTCAAGTAAATGTCTACAACCATGCATACCTAATATCATTCATTGCACTTCATTGACACCATACATCTCTTCACATTATGAAATGAAATATCAAATGTCAACGCAGAGAAATAACAGATTTAGAAAGGATTTACCATTTATATATGGTCAAAGTTTATTCCTATTTTGAAAAGAAATTTGTATTCAACCCTCCACCTCCCCCCCCCTCTCCTCCAAAAAAGGCAGTTTACAGACAGGTTTCAATCGGAAACAAAATCCAAGGGAAACATGGTATAATATTTTCATAGGCAGGCCGTCTCTCTGGACAAGTTCGCCAAATTAGATTTGACTGTATATTTTTCAGGGCTGTGGAAGAGCTCTCCGGCAGTGACCTTCCCGACATTGATGTTATCACGATAGCTCAGATGATGACGGTGGACCAGTACTATGATTTGGGAGTGGCTCTTGGTTTCACCATATCACAGTTGGATGTCATAGAATACAGGAGATTCCGTGACAGACAGCAGGCCATCTATGACATGCTGGTGACATGGAGAAAGAGCCAGGCCACCGGCCAAGAAGCGAAGGAAACACTTCTCTCACTCATGAAATCTTTGGACACGCCAGCCGAACAGACAGAGATTTCAGGTTAGTTGAATGGCACTTGCTCTTGCATCAATCGCGGTAATTTCCTACAATTGAATAGCTATTTTCAACCCTGTACCACACTATGCCTGATACCTACCCTAACCCTAAACCTATCCTAAAACCCAGCTACAACCCTAAACCTAATCTTAATCCGTACCCCTTAGTTTTGACAAAATATAAGCTGGAGCAATAATTGTTGCAGGAGAAAATTCAATCACTATCAGGTTTGTAGTGCTAGTGTTTGTACTGATTATTTCTTAATTTTTGAAAAGTGAATAAAGATGTTGTGGTTGTTTTCATCCCTATTTTGACTGGTTTTTGCTATTGTTCATGTTTCCTCTCTTGGCTGATCATAGTATATGGTAAAACATCCGCAAGAAAGCCACATGAAGTATCTATTGTCAATAGCATTACCGACCTGCATGCCGGTATCCCATGATATCCATGGTCTACCAGTGTTTTGTTCTTTGCGGATTTGGGACATTTTGTTTGATGTGAAAAAAGAAGGGAGAAGCCGTTTGTCAGAAAAGAGGAAAGAGATAATTAGGTCAAAAAATTGAAGTAAGGCCTGGTCGAACATAAAAATTAATGCTCTGCATATGTACATCTGGGCCCGTCTTTTAAAGAGTTGATATCAATCGCAACTACGTACATAAGAGATGGGGACTGCACACTTGAGATTGATTGGAGGACTTGCGATTGATCCATATATATTGCATTCGCAACTCTTTATTATACGGAGCCCTGAATAATAAAATAGCTGGGGCTCTGTAAATCAATCAGTAGGGGCACTGTCCTCATAATATCTTCTGAATCGGGAACTATTTATCATTATACTTATATTGTTTTAGGTGAAGTTTAACCACACCTTCATGCAAGGGTGATTATCAAAGGTTCAGGTAGAAGGGTATTTTTCTAAATTTGTTTAAATCT